GCCACTGAGACTCTCAATAAACATAATTATCCCTTATTTTCACCAGCATTTGTTGAGCATCATTCCATTCTACACCATTTAAAGAACATATATTCTAGTAGGTAAAATAGACATGTGAGAAGAACAGTAAAATACATTCTAATAAATGTTATCATGGGGTCTCTATAGAGTCCTTTGATTGGAAGGATGTTAAAGACCAGTAAGCTTACCACAAAAAAAAAAAAAAAAAAGCAGACCTAAATATCTGGATCAAGAACAGTAGTGGTAAATAGATGATCCCACACATTATGTCTACAGCCAAATGAGGGCCTTTGTGATAAGTATATCTGAGGGTAGGGACCTAATGGATGTATCTGAAGGTTTATGATAAACACACAATTTTAAACATTATCTAAAGGCAGTGGAGACCTTGGAATTAAAATGATGAGTTAGAATAATTAAATTTACACTATGGCAAAAATCATTTGCATATAGAAAGTTATGTATGGGAACAAGACCAAAAGCAAAAGGACCAGTGAGAACATAGTTTTAGTAATTCAGAAGAGATGATAGCAGGTTGAATTAAAACAGAGGCATCAGAATATAGATCTGGCAGTTTTAAATTAATTTAGAAGGTGAAATATAAATTTGGAGAATGTGGAATGTTGTTGGTTTGGTACAACATTCTGGTTTCTTGGTGTGCATTAGCTGGTGGTTGAATTATTGGAAGCTGGGAAAAGGTGCAATAATACATGAGTTTGGCTTTCTGTCCCTCCCCCTTGGTTTAAATTCTCTGGCTATATAAGTAGGGAAAGACTTTAAATGGATACAATTTTAGAAGAAAAAAGGAAAGTGATTGAGGAACTTCAATTAATATCCTCATATAGGAAGAACATAGTGTGAGAATAAGATAGGGCCAGAGTAGAAACAGTTCTAGGGACAAAATTTGGGGAGGAAAGTCATCTTGCAGTAGAATGAAAAATGAGTGGAAAACATCATCACCACTGAGCCTTGTCTACTATTTCAAAAAGTTTGCTGGATAGTGAAAGTGAGAACAAAAATAATTGGAAGAGAAAGTAAAAAGTCATGTTTGAGAGTATTAGAAATAGAAAATACAACCATCCCTGGTGGCGCAGCGGGTTAAAGCACAGCACTAAGAAGCAAAAGCCACTTCCGCATGAGTTTAATCCCTGCCTGCCCCAGAGGCGGCAGACCTCTCCAGACCTGCCCGCTGCTCCCCTCAGCAGTGTACTTTGTCGGTCTGCCTGTTCTGTTCCCCACTCTGTCTCTGGTGAAGCCTCTTGCCGCCCCTTCACCTCTGGCCTGTACCCCAGTTCTGTATGCACAAATAAATAAATCTTTAAAAAGGAAAAAAAAGAAGAAGAAGAAGAAGCTATCTGCAGCCACTGCAACACAGTTCAATTCCCAGCCAGGGAGCTGACCCATATGGCACAGCAGACCTCTCTGACCCCCGCTCACTGCTCTCCTTAGCAGTGTTCTTCAATCCACTCTGTTCTTCTACTTCCCACTCTATCTCTGGTGAATCCTCCCACCACCCCCATGCCTTTGGCCTATACCCCAGTTCTTGGGTGAAAAAACAAAAAAATCTTAAAAGACTAAGTAACTTATACATTTCATTTCAGCAAAGAGGTCAATGATATGTTTATTAGATAACTTAAGACCTTCTTAAGATAAATTGTGGTAAATTGGTGAAACCTTTTAAAACTATTTGACATTATGGATTATATCAAGTTCCTCAAAATCTTTATTGTTTTAATGTGGTATCTTGAATGATACTTGAAAAATTGGATTAAGATAATTAAAAAACTATTATCTTTCAAGTTGGTAAATCATGTGTATAACCAGTAAAATTATATTTAGGATGAGATCTCAATTATGTTGTATGCATTTATTATAGTAATAACTTAAAAAGTATCTTATCACATTATTAAGTTATAGTAGTAACTTAAAAAGTATCTTATCTTTTTTGTATGTAAGCAAACAAAAAAAACAAATATACCAAAAAGAAGTATAAGAAAATGCCTTAAGATATCCAGCAGTTGCTGTTGTATAGGGGAATTTTTATAGATTTTTCATTTTGACTTTTTACTTTTCTATATCTTATAAATTGCCTTTGATGAGGATGTTATTTTTTATAATAAATTTTTTAACAATTTGCTGAAATAAAATTACTCAAATTTGTGTTTTGAAATAAAGGAGCATATATAACCATAGTAATATAGAAATAAAGAACAGCAGGAATCAAAGAGTTTTTTTTAAAGATTGATTTATTGATGCATACAAAAATTGGGGTGCTGGCCAGGGGTACAAGGGTAGGGGGTGAGAGGACTCATCAGAGACAAGAGTGGGGAGCAGAACAGGCAGACCTACTGAAATACACTGCTGAGGGGAGCAGCAGACAAGACAGGTGAGGTCTCCTGTGCCATATGAGTCACCTCCCTGGCGTGGGGATCAGTCTTATGTCACTGTGGCTGGCGATAGCTTGATATCGCTGAGATTTTAACTCCTGGGTCACTATGGAAGCTTCAAAGGAAGATCTTTTATCTTAGGTTGGTGATATAGGAAATTAATGAAGCGAGACCCAGAGAAGTAGGAAAGGCCAAGAAGTAAAAAGTAGAGGGCTGTAAGCATTTTGGTGGTGGGGAAAGTATAGTGATCACAGGGGAAAGTATAGTGATCACAGGGGAAAAATTCTATACTGTGAAAAAATAAACAAGGATGTTTATAAACAAATTTGTTTTTTGGTTTTCTGTGGCAGAATGACTCTCCTTCCATAATTGAAAGGAAGGATTTATTGAGCATATGACTAGAAACTGATGAACTGATGAACATCATTTTAGTACAGGTCACCATTATTTGTCCCATCCAAGATGCCAAAAGCATAATTCCTGCAAAATTCAAAAAGTAAATCTTACCTCTCTCTCTCAGTGACAGGAGTAATCCTGAAATGATTTAGCCAAAACAGAATTGCTTCCTCCAGCATTTTCATCTCAGTATCTTCCAGTACATCCAGCCAACTTGACCACTATGCCTGATCTCTTTCCTACATTGTGCTCATGCCAATCTACCATTATGCCTTAGGGTTAAATGGTTAATATGAATTGGGCCCTTACAGTGAAATCTCTCTTCTTTACTCAAGGGGATTGTTGTTTAGAACCTTGGCTGAGTTTTGATGTAAAACCACTTAGGTTTTATGGAGTTTTGTAGAGTTGAGGAAAGCTTTCCAAAATAAGTACTTTTAAAACTGACTATTGCAATTATATGTCACTGATTTACAAATAGAAAGACACAGACTTCCCCCCTTTTTTTTTTTAACTTTAGCTAAGAGTACACTTGTTGCAAATGATTTTTTAAAGTTGATATGTTGATATATAGTCTTATATATCAAGACTAGATGAGATTTTAGCCATGGGCTCAGTTGAGCATCAGCATCACTAGTCTTCCCTATTTTCTGTCACTGTACATATGGGTGGAACATCCAGTCTGATTATTGAATACAAGCAAACCTCAGGCTGGGACTCCACTGAAGAAGAAACTTCTGTTGTGTGGTAACAGGTTGTGTCAGTGCCAAATCTTCCTTTGTTTGAGTCTACTTAATATTTTCACTCTATATTCTTATAAGGCTATTTATCAAGATGATCTGCTCATGAATTCAAGTGGTTGGTCAGCCCTCTCATGTGAAACAATGGTCCTTCCAGTATAGTATATACAATGGTTGGCTTAAGCTTAGGATATAAGAAGCTTGGCTATTTTAGAAACAAGAGATGGCATGAGAAGTAAAAGGAAATAACTTTACTAAATACTATGAAATTTAGAGAAATGAAGCATTCTGATTTTTAGCTTGCCAGAGACTCTAGTATCTCCTTGAGTTGAAACTTAAAGCCATTTCACTAATCACAGTAGCAGCTCCCAAGTATAAAAAAAGATATGACAAATGTGTCATACTCAATATTCAGGATGACATAGTCTAAGCTTCTACAGACATGTGTGTTTGTGTGTACACATGTACCAACATGCTTAGCACCATATTTTACTTATTTTCCAAATGACTTGCAAATATAAGGTGACTTTCTGCACACTAACATCTCTAATAAAAGAATAGTTGATATTAATAAATAGGCATTTTAAATAACATATTTTATTACTATGAGTTTAATTACCAAAGTTATTTTTCTGGTGCTCCCTTTCTCTGGTATACTGTTGATCATGCCTGCAATACTAACAAGTCCTTAAACATGGTGATGGCACCAAAAGAGAAGCAGTCTGAAAGATCAGGATGATGGAGGATGTGTCTAAAACAACATTCAGCCTTATGGAGACTTGTCATTGTCATTCTGAAATTTAGGACAATCACATAGTAGCATTATCGAGGGATTTTCATTAATGCAAATATGTATAGTCAATTTAGCATTTGATTATAAGGAATTTTTTTTTTTTACTCATTTAACTCCTCTTGAATATTTTTCACAATTATCTTCATTGTTCTCCTTCCCACCATCTCTGAAATAGCTGCTGTGGCATTACAGTTTCCCTAAAGCTTGATATGTTTTGTATTTCTCGCTTAAAATATTGTATTCATTTATGCAAAACAAACTTCGTTATTTAAAATCATAATTCTGTCACATGTCCTCAATGTAATTTATAAATTCTGCGTATGAACACAAGAGCAAATAGGCCTGAAAATAAGCCTGAAAAGATATGACAACAGATACCCTTTTTATACTAGAATCCTACTGCCTGCCATAATTAATTATCTGAACTTTCTAAGAACTAAAAAGTAAATCTTATAAAGCAGTAGTTGCATTAAACATCTTTATCTTTCAAAAGAGATGGATTTCAAACTGAAGCAAGGAAAATCTTAATTTTTGACATTTCTTCCTAGAGATGACTGGCTCCCATGAATATTTACTTTCTTTTGACAGGGTCGTTAGCCTACACTGAACTAGTTGGCCAAAGTTTGAGCTCTTTAAATAACTGAAAATTCTGTATTTCTTCCCCAGGCAAAGCAGAAGAGTTTATCCATAAGTATTCTACTGAAAATGAAAAATTAGAAAGGAGTAAAGAATATACATACCAATGGCTTCACACACAGGTTGGGGTTCATGAAACAACTGGTTCCAGAAATATGAAATGGTGAGGTCATTTCCTTTAAATTAGATTTTTGTATTGTAAACATACCTTGCAAAGTGAAACCTAGGCTAATTGTGCTAAAACAAACATGCCTTTAGAGCTAAAGGCCAGTACACCACATTGCTAGGTTATAAAAGCCCTCATATAAAATAAATTTAATCACATAAGTTTTCACCCTAAAATGTTTCAGAACTCTGTTTCTGCAATGCTTAAAACCAGCAAATGAAGCACACAAATTAATCTCCTTCATAAAGTATTTAACATGTGTGATACCCTTTAACTTTATGAATAGCATCTACTGCAGTTTGTCTTTTATTTTGATTTGTTTTTGTTTGCATTTACTTAAAATGATAATTCAGCCCTGACACTGGCACTTTGCTAGTCTTATAACTGATTTGCAATGATGTCTTAATACTTCAGTTTCCTCTCTTTTATAGTGAAAATCTATCTCACAGATAAAATCTATCTCACAGGATAGAGGTGAATTCACAAGGTTGAGGATATCAAATGTTCATATCCCTTAGCAACAAACAAGGTGATTTGAACCTAATCAATTTATTTTGTTATGTTAATATATGCATTAGTTCACAAGGGCTACCTTAACAAAATAGCAGCGATCCCATGACTCAAACAGCAAAGATTTATTTTCTTACTGTTCTGTAGACTGGGAGTCCAAGTTCAAAGAGTTAGAAAGTTTGATTACTTTGGAGGTTCTCTTCTTCCCTTGCAGATAGTCAGCTTTTCACTGGGTCTCCACATGGACATCCTTCTTCTGTGATGTCTGTATTATAATCTTCTCTTATAAAGACACCAGTCATTAGGTTATACTCATATGACTCTATTTTAACTTAATTATCATTTCTTGGGTTCTAGCTCCAAAATAACCATATTCAAGATAGTATGGGAGTTAAGACTAAAACAGATGAATTTTAAGAGAACTTAATTCAGCCGATAACATTGTGTATGTGCTGGGTCAAAGTTTTATTGAAATAAAAGCTAAAAGATAGTATTTTTTACATACATTGTGAAGACTGATTTTAGATACATATACCCACCTAAGTTTTTAAATATGGTATTGTAAATATTTGTTAAATATAAAAACTGATATTGAGCCTAATTATAGAGCATACTGTTGAAATGTTTTCCATTATTGTGAATAATAACTATTTAAATGAATAACAAAAATATCATGTAATTGTTACAGTTAATCCTATCTTTATCCACTGGATAAAAACTATAATATTTTGGGCCCTCCCTGGTGGCGCAGCGGGTTAAAGCACTGCACTAAGAAGCTTATGCCACTTCTGCATGAGTTCAATCCCGCCTTCCCGGAGGAGATCCACATGGCGCGGCAGACCTTACCTGACGCGCCCGCTGCTCCCCTCAGCAGTGTACTTCGTCGATCTGCCTTTTCTGCTCCCTATTCTGTCTCTGGTGAATCCTCTCACCCTCCACATCTCTGGCCTGTACCCCAGTTCTGTATGAATAAATAAAAATAATAAATTTAAAAAAAAACTATAATATTTTTATAAGATATATGACTTGAAACTTTCATATGTAATCAGTTCTATGAATAAGTTTTTTTTTAATATGGAAATGAACATGGAGAATGAAAGTGAAATTAAAGCAACATTTTAATCTACTATAATTGTTAGGTCATTTCACTGTAAGCAAAGAAAGTAGTAATAAAATTATCAGCCTTTGAGAATTTTTTTTATTCAGTATTTTAACCAATGCAAGCAAAATATCTTTTATGTTGGTTATGATTCAATGCTTAAGATAATGTTCTTATAACTAAAAAAAATATAAATGTAGTTTACTGTTTTTATTAAATAAGATATAAGAGGTCTGGTTTGGAGACTTAAAAGCATTAGTATAGATAATATGTAAAAAAAAAAAAAAAAACCTAAGCAAATATTTCAGAATGTAATTTAGATATGTTTCAAATTTTGACAATATTCTTTTTCTTGAATATATTAAATTTAAACACATGATGCAGTGCAATTGTTTTTGTAAGTTATTGATTTCTCCAAAACTTTTCATTGTATATTTTCTTTTGTATTTTCCTCTACACGTGCATTATATGATTTTTGTTTTTGTCACTCTGCAGTAATCACTTCTTGCCTGAGTTAGATCCAGATGTACTCAATGGTGGGAGAGTTCAGCTTGTGGTAAGAAATGTGTTTAAAGCAAAAAGAAAAAATATATACATAGAAAACAGCACACTAATAAATGACACTTTAAAATATGTTTATAATTAGTTTCAATTCTGAAAATATCACAATTGTTTCAATTTTGAATAATCTTAAAATACTATGTGTCAAAATTGTAACATGCTTTCTTGACAATATAGCTTTAAAATATGATATTATTTTAAATGTTAACCTATATGACAGATTTTAAATAGTAGCGTACAGCCAAATTTAAATAAAATTACTATAGACAGGAAGTTGCATAATGAAGTTATTGTCTTGACTGTTGTAAAGAGTAGGATACTTGAGGGAACTGAAATGTATTCTCATGACCAAAAGATAAAACCAAATAAAATTTAAAATTTTGAACTCAACCACTTTAAGAAATCAAGTACAAATGATTGGAGGTTTAGAAACAAACAGGTCCTAAATATGGTGACCAAAGTTTGTATTCTAGACAGTATAACTACATGTATATTGATAAAGTCCTTTGTATTACAGTCTATTAGAAGTATGACTATGTTAACAGGAGAGTAGTCAATATAGATTCTAGGGACACACAGTCCATAAAATGAGAAATTTTTGATGTGTTTCCAGAAAATTCCAGAGAAGAGTATACCCTGATCAATGACAGAAGTGTGTGACCTCCTTGGCAGGTGAAATGGTTGTGTCGGGTGACCCTAACTTTATGACAACTTCCATATATCAGCAAATTAGCCTCCCCATTCAAATTCTACATTCTTCAAGAAAACTGATAATAATTTATAATGTTGAATTTATATAATGTTTTCTAATGGAAACTACTAGTATTATATCCAGAGAAGTTATATTTATCATAAGTGAGGAAGTTGTATTCATCATAAGTGATCCAGGGGTTATGACAAGATACTAAGCTAATTAAAGACCCTAAGTTGAAATCTTGAGGTATTGGGGAATGAAAGCTTGGAAGATGAGCTAGGGGAATCGAGACAGAAATTGCAGATGTAGAAACAAGTCATAATTAATAGGAAAATGTTAAAAAAAAAAAGTGCAAATTCAGCTACTATAAGGTCCTTGAAGACATGAGGAAAGACCCATAATAAAAGATCAGAAAATTGGGCCCTCCCTGGTGGCGCAGCGGCTTAAAGCACAGCACAAAGAGGCTTAAGCCACTTCCGCATAAGTTTGATTCCCCGCCTGCCCCCGAGGAGATCCACATGGCGAGGCAGACCTCTCCTGACCCGCCCACAGCTCCCCTCAGCAGTGTACTTTGTCCATCTGCCTGTTCTGAACCCCATTCTGTCTCTGGTGAATCCTCTCACCCTCCGCATCTCTGGCCTGTACCCCAGTTCTGTACGAATAAATAAATAAATCTTTAAAAAAAAAAGATCAGAAAATTATGGAGCAAAAGTGATCATATTACATATATATATACACATACATACACACACATATATATGCAAATGATCCTACTTTCAAGTTCTAGAAATAAAAGGTATTATTAGTGAAATAAACTCGACTGGAATTAATAAAAAATAGAATCAGTGAATTGGAAGATTACATATAAAAGGCCTGGAATTAGATCAAGAGCTGACATCAAATCAGAAATACTGCATATTAACAGACAATAGTAAATGGAATAAATTTAATTATTACCCAGAATACTCTTCACTTAACATTCAAGGTAAGGACAGAATAACACATAAACTTTCAAATGCTAAGTTATGAGGAAGTAAATAGATCATCTTTGTCTTCCAAAGATTAAAGTATAACATGTGACAGGAATAAGAAAATGGAAAGAAGTTATTTTACTTTCAAATATATATTTAAGGGCATGTCACAGATCTAAACAATTGTATTTTTAAGTATATTAAATTTATCCTGGGCCCTCCCTGGTGGTGTGCTGGTTAAAGCACAGCACTATGAAGATATCCACAGCCAATGCAGCACTAGTTCTACTCCTGGCCAGGGAGGTGACCCACATCACACAGCAGACCTCACCTGTCTAGCCTGATGCTCCCCCTCAGCAGAGTACTTTGTCAGTCTGCCTATTCTGCTCCCCACTCTGTCTGGTGAATCCTCTCACACCAGCGTCTCTGGCCTATACCTCAGTTTTTGCATACATAAATAAATAAATCTTTTTAAAAAATGATTAAACTTATCCTCTAAAACTCCAGGATTTTCCTGCAGAATAGTCATAGTTCAGAATCCCTAAAAAAGAAAGATCTATCTGAGATTCTGATATTTGACTTTTACTGGGGAAGGCTTCCAGAAAAAAAAAAGATGTAAGAAGCAAGATGGAGCAAAGGGAGAAGGCAAACTGCATTACAGTTGCTGTAGAGGAAGAGACATTTGTAATGGGGCATTTCTTTTTGATTGCCCCAGCTTGAGGCCCTAGGGAGAGGTCTTATGCTTCTCTGTTGGCTCAAGAGAAGGTGTAGCTTGGTCAAGACAGCTCCCTTGAGTTTAGACAATTTCAAGAGCATTCAGCTAAGAGCTACTAACTTCCCCTTTCTCAGCAACTGGAATAATCCCACCAATCATTAAAAGTGATCTGAGGCCCTCCCTGGTGGCACAGCAGGTTAAAGCACAGCACTGAGAATCTAAAGCCACTTCCACATGAGTTCGATCCCCGCCTGCCCTGGAGGTGACCATATGGCGTGGCAGACCTCTCCTGATCCGCCCGCTGCTCCCCTCA